TCTGCACCACCTCCAAGCATTTTGCAGGTTTTTTCTCTAACGCTTTCTCTTGTGCCTCCTGTGTGTCAGTTATTCCTGCACAGTTGGAGCACCACAGCTCGATTGCACAGTGACACTAAAGGCCTGTTCTATTCTGTTCTATTCTGTTCTATTCTGAATCAAGCAACCTTCTTTCAGGTGATTACCCAGAGTCCTCGGGTCCGTAATGCTCCCCATCAAACTCAGACACTCTGACAGCACACCGATGATGTCCTCCTGGTTGCACTGATCTGATTGGGTCATGTGACTTCCTGCTTCTGACAGGGCGGTGGCTGCAAGGTCCAACATGTTGGCCACTCTGTAACCCTCTGCAGCTCGCAAGTAACCCTGAGCCGCCAGCGCCCAGTCCTGTGACACACAGACAGACACACCTGAGTCACCTGGCTCACCTGTTCTGTGTCAAATTCAGGTTTTGGTCCTGACCCGTGTCCTGCTGTAACAGCGGCTCATCTCCATGCAGGCGTCCCCCTCACTGCAGCCGTCTCCTTGTGACCTATACAGCTGGGCAGCTTGCAGGAAGTAGGTGGCGGCTTCCCGGCTCTGCCCCAGTGCATCATGGGCCAGGGCGAGGTTGAACTGGAGGTCAGGGAGGCGGTCGGCCTTGGGACCAGGCTGAGCATGCCGCAGGAAGTCCAGACCTTTCCGAGGTCGTCCTACCTCCACATAGGCAGCCCCGAGGTTAAAGGAACAGGCCCGCAGGACCCGCGAGTCCTGGAGCTGAGAGCATGATATGAAACGTAGTGCCAGGAGTGCCACTAACACTGCTGACACACATCTGTTCTTGTAACCGCCTCACCTGCTCTGCAGCCTTCAGGGCATCTCTGAAGTGCCGCAGCGCCTCCTGTGGGCGTCCCTCCTGCAGCGCTTTGTGCCCAGAAGATGTCAATTCCTCAATGTCTGCTGTCTGCTTCCGCCCCACACTCCCACTCCTCCTCTTCACCTTCACAGCTGCTTTACCTGAAGGGGCTGCACGGGACGTCATGCTGGACCTGAAGAAGCAAGAGTCACCTGGATAAAGACATGCAGATGTGCTAACCTGCTGCCTTCATCAATGAACCGGCCGACCACACACCTGAACCTGCAGGTTCAGGTGTGTGGACCAATCAGTCAGATCCATCCTCAGGATCAGGCGCAGGTCAGTGAGATAAATCAGTAACAGTGATTATCTACGTTATTATTGATCCGTGAGGAAAGGTCTGATCAACCAGTAAGAGCGTACTGAGGTTATTAAAGGGCTGAATCAGCGAGAGTACATCACTGAACTGCTGCCGATAACAAACACTCACAGCCTGGGGATGATGAAGCTCCTCCTCCTCCTCACTGCTCACCTGTCCCCTAAACCGAACATTTGAAGCAGCTAGCCCCTCTGCTAAACCGCTCCGACCTGCAGGTTGACTCGTTGCTATGGTAACGCGGAAGTGGTCGGTAAAACCGGCAGCAACAGAAGAAGACTTCGCGAGTAAACTCTTTGCATTATGACGTCACGCCAGGTGAGTTATAAGATGTAAATGTTTGCGGGAAGACCGTTTTCGATTCAGCTATTACGACAGTGAACTCCATAGACCACAATCCACCGCAATGAGGTTCTAGCCAATAGGAGGCAAGGCTGACGGCTCGACCAATTAGAGAGCGGCGGGAGCTTTGAAACTCCAGGCAGGAAACAGTCGGAGGACGGTTGGAGCTCCGCTGCGGTTTCTGTGTTTTTACCGAGACTTTGGGACACATTCGGGCACCGAGAGGACCCGGACCGGGACACCGAGACACCCGTAACGACCCGACACAGACCCGGGACACCGAGAGGGGGGACAACATGGCGGATTTAGCCGCGAACGGCCACTGTGAGTGTCGGTCAGAGAGTCCGGTGTTGTGCCAAAGTAGGTATCCCGACAAAATTTGTTTCCCCTGTGCTGGGAGCACCAAGAAGTACTGATGTTTTCATTTTGTGAAAAAGTGAAAAATTAGTATCGTTACATTACCATTCAGTTTGAGGGTTACAACAGAAAATTATATATTTATTGCTCACGGGTATCAGATGGGATTATTTTTAACAAACCATTAACGTTTTGGCTGATAACTATTTTTAATCTCCTATAACTTTACTATATAAAGAGCTAAATCCTCCAAAGTTTCAGGAGTAATGCGTCATAATAAGAAGTGTTTGTGAACGAAAAATCAGCAATGTGGGATACTGTTTGTCCGTGATTTACACAGGGGGGACAAACTGTGGCAGGATCAGCCTGATATTATTTGTATCCCACTATAACTTCGTTGTATAAAGAGCTAACATCTCAAAAATGTCAGGAGTAGTTAGTCATTATAAGAAGTGTTTGTAAACTAAAAATCAACGATGTGGGATACTATTTGTCCGTGATTTGGACAGTCCAGCGTGGGCTCCCGACGCAGGGGAAACAAATTATGTCGGGGGTACCTACTTTGGCACAACACCTGAATGACCGCAGCGTCAATCAGATTCATATGCAATTAACTCGGTGTCACACTCCGTGATTTTCTGCGTCTGTGGGGTTAATTGAGAGGAGCTGACCTCAGTGCTGCTGCTTGCAGCTGTACCGATCAGCCACAGCATTAAAACCACCACAGGTGAGTCACCTGTCACAGGTCAGGTGATCGATGGACACTTGTCCAGGTGGACTCCTTATGATCCGGGTCTCAGCCTGAGGTCTAAGGGCGTTTTCCCACATGCGGTGTTCTGGTTCACCTGTACAGGTGGACACCGCTAGTGTGAAACAACCTGTGGAGGAGGCATTCTCGGTCTGGTTAGTTTAGCGTGAACGTGATCCGAACCAAGAACCAGGTGTGTCATAGGTTTGAAAAAAACGTCCCGTAGCCCCACGTGCTGCACGCTTTTTCTCTGTGTGAAAAAAACAAAACAAAGACTTTAATGAAATGATGTGTTTACCGTCACTTCAAGACAATAAGAGCAACACGCTGAACCAGTGACGCAATAAAGTTTCACGGGTTAAATGTCAATCATATGTATTTCACCGCTGTAATGTTCTGGATATTTATAATTGAGCGTTTGTGAATATTAGAGCATGTTTGTAGCTTCATAATATGAGAGGACGGTGGCTCCTCTGATTGGGATCAGAGTCAAGTCTTTGTAAGAGTTTACATCCAGGGCTCGCAAAATCGCTAGCCCGACGTCCCGGGGCTAGCGATTTTTCAAGTCGGGCTACCAAAATCTATCTCTGCCCTGCCCGTCGGGCTATCATAGGAAGGAAAAATGTATGTCAATTTTTTTTGCTTTCACTTTGCAATCGCTGAACTGTGTATAGAGAGCGACGACAGCACTGATTGGTGAGTGACGATAATTTGCGCACCAATTCCTCTG